AGTGTAAAACCTGAGGGACTGAGGCTGACAAACTGCAGGCAATTCTTGATCTGGTTTTACAGGAACTGAATTACATGTTATAACAGATCTGATAACTCTGGACACATGTAGACTGATGAGGCAAACTTCTGCATAAATGGATCGATTCTTATGTAGCGCTTTTCTAATCTGAACACTGAAAGTGTTTTATACAACATGCCTCATTCACCCATTCAAAACGCTTTTTTTCTATGCCAATGGAGTACCATTAAGGATGGTCATATAGGCATATGGTATAAATTTATCAGATTAACTTGATGGCGCCAGTTTAGCTCAGGTGGATGAGCAGGCAGCTGGCCTGGGTTCGAATTTGACCCGCGGCCCTTTGCTGCTTGTCTCCCCTTCTCTCTTTCTCTCTGCTTTCCTGTCAATCTTCACTGTATCTGTCCAATAAAGCCAGAAAAAAAAAAAAAAAGGCCAAAATATATATATATTAAAAAAAAGATTAACTTGATATAATATTATTAAGCTAAATATGTTTGAAAACATCTGCTGACAATGGTTGCAAGTAAATTATTGTAAAAAAATTATAATGTATAATTATAATACCAAGTTCTGTCAAATTTTGGGCTGAGACATTTGCATTCGCAATCATTGAGGGGATTAAGGAGGCAGAATACAGGAAACTAGTGAGTGATTTTGATGGTTAGTGTGGGAGGTACCGACTGCACCTGAATAATTACAAACTAAGGAGATGGTGCTGGATTTCTGAAGAAATCCCTTTTTTCCAACAGCCAGTCAACATAGGGTTGGCTGTCATGTCCTGTAGATAGTCATGTACTATAAGTATACAATAAACTTGACTACACTCTGAACACTAACTTTATCTACAGGAAAGGGCAGGCTAGGTTGTTGGGCTCTAGTTGGACACTGTGGAGGCAATGTTAGAACAGAGATCACTGTCCAGCTATGAGTCAGTTGTGGACAATACCACCCACCTTCTGCATTCTGCCTTTGAACAGAGGAGGAGTACATTTGCCCAATAATTACTACAGTTATTTGATTTATTCTCCTCTTTTTATAGAGAGAATGATTTCTTTTATTCTGTTTGTGAGCAACCAGCCACTATCTATCTAACTATATATATATATATATATATATATATATATAGCACTAATTATAAAGGCCATCTTCACTATTCTGTTGTCTACAGAAAAGATTCTGGAGTGGGCCCTGGAATACAAAGACTACAAGGACAAACTGATGGATCAGGCTGCCCTGATGCTTACAGTATCAGGCAGGGTCAAAGAAACACAGCAGATCCTTGCTACTCAGTTCAGTTTCCGACTCAGAACACCAGACCTCATCATTAAAGTAAGCCACATAGTTAATCAGGTGATTATTACAGGAAAGAAGATTAAGATATAAATCTATATCTAAAGTTGTTTTCTTTCCGTTTTTTGTCAAATAGCCACTGGGGAAGGCTGTGGTAGGAAAGAAGATGTCAGTAGAGATTTCATTTACTAATCCACTGCCACAAGTGCTGAAAGCAGTGATATTCCATGTGGAAGGACTTGGCCTTATGACTGCTCGAAAGATAAATTATGGGTAAGGAGGAATAATATACTTTATACTGTGTGTGTTTTTTTTAAATACCTTGTCTAGCTATCTCTTTTGTGATTGCTACTGTCATTTCCTGTCCTACCCTCAGAGATATTGGCAGCCACGCTTCTGTGTCTCTCACTGAGCAGTTCATCCCCACCCTTTCTGGAACGAGAAAATTACTAGCTTCACTGGACTGTAAGCAGGTCAGGCAGGTTCATGGTGTGAGTGACATCACTGTGGAGGAGAAAAGCAACGCCCCTCTATAGTGATAATAGAGCCACTTTGAGGCTGAATGCTGACAGTTATTTCCTTTATATAGGCACTGATTGTGTTGTTTTTTCTGCTTTTTGCCTTCTATATGATAAGCCAGTATTTTTTTTCACAAAGCACAGTACTGATTTATTTTTGCAGTAGAACATTGAAATTACTTATAACCACACGTAACCATAAAATATTTGATAACATGGTGGCGTTTATGGGCTGTTACAGAGAATAGACTGTTTCTACAATAAGAAAACCAGTATTCAACTGCATAAAAATTTCTTTACATCTTAATGCTCAAACTCTTGCAACATGCTTCTACAATACATTGAACAAGGCAGCATTCATAAAACCTCTTTGGAACATGTTTGCTCTTGCAAAGGTGTCCATGTGGAACCAGAATAAAGTTTTTATCATGACTTTTTATGAAATCTTATGTAAGCATTGTAAATGTCATCATTATGCTCTGACAGCCGATCAAGCACTATAGCTAGCACTGACATGTATTGACGTGTTGAACTAAACTGACAATTACTCACATTTCCTCATCTTGTATGCTTCTAGACTTGCAAAAAAAAGAAGTATTGAACATTATTCTAAACCAACCAATGCAATAGAGACATAATCGACACACCACATAAGCACCTCACGTTTTCTTGGAATATGCGAAAAGTATGCATATGAAAGTATGTGGTTACTATGATTAGGAAACAGTCTGGGGACCCACAGTAGATGCTGAGGTTGGACCATCTGCTGGCTTTAATGGAAGAGATGTGCTTATGTAAAGACCGGCTTAATATTTATGTCTTTGATTCTATATTTATATATATATATATTTATTTTGTTTATTATGTAATGCCAAAAGAATCATTTAAATATCAAATCACTACTTAAATGCTATTATATTAATAAAATGCCACTTATTAAAATTATGTCTTATTCTGTGATTTATTGATTTTTAATGTCAGCGTGTGCCCATTGTTATGCAGCTGCTGTCAAAAGTTCTCTGTGTCTCTGCTAATAATTTTTTTCAATGGAACAGTTGCCAGTGTTAAACTATTTAGCATGTGCTTCAATGTTGTTTGTTGGTGGCAAATAGGCTGGCTGGAGTATTTTTAAAAATCTACTGGGTTTTCCCCATACAACAGTCTCTAGAGTTTACAGAAAATTATACAAAAAAGAAAATATCCAGTGAGTATCCGTTCTCTAGACGAAAATTCTTGATGATGAAATTAGAGAAGAGCGTTCAGGCAGCTTCAAGCCAATAGGAAGGCAATGGTAACTCAAATAACTACTTGTTATAATTAAAAGTATGCCAAAGACCATCGGAATGCAAAGAATGCACTCAAACACTGAGTGCTGACTCCCCACAAGGGTGTGTATTGCGTTCACTGCTCTACAGCCTTGGTAAATGGCCTAGTACTTATTTAGCTCTTTTTCATTCTAACTGAGCACTCAAACACCCATTCAAGCTCTTCTCTATACATAAGCACCTTGTCTAACACAGCGTTGGCTTCTCTTTTTGCAAATTACCTCTTCAACCTTGGCAAAAATCCATTTACACAACATAGCTGTTGCACTTATAGAGAGCTATAAAGGTGAGGATATGCATTGCATCATCTCTGCCAATAAACTGGAAGAAATGCATCAGTGGGGTATTTGTTTTTGTCCTTTACAGTTGCATCAGCAGCTGCAGTGTGGGTGGGTTTCACTGTCAAAAAAATTCCCACAAACTACCTGTTGAATTGCTTGCTGTGGCTGCTGCTGCTGTTCCTGCTGACTTTTAAACTTTCTGTGAGTTTGTTCTACACACTGTCAATCAAACCTAGAAACTGACGGTAAGCTGCCTGTCACAACTGTGAAATGAACCAAAATCTCAATAAGCCATGGTCATGAGATGTGGTTGTTTTGAACCGCATTTCAGAGCAGTATGTGGAAACATGCAAATAGCATTGACGCACCAGTTATGAGGATCCCACCATGCAACATAAAGAAACTGAAACAACATAACTGTGTATTTGCTTTAACGTTGTCAATTGCTTTGATATTAACTACAACAAAATGCAAGCCCGGACCCAGAATAGCCAGTGAAGTTATGTTGACTCAGTAATGGCACATCACAGGAAATAAGTACATACAGCTACAGCTGTGGTGTGTAAAATTAACATGTGGTGAACATAAAAGCGTTGGAAAACGTCACCCGCTTTGTCGCTCTTCCTCTGAGCTCTTCACTCTTTCCGAAGGTTTCGGTGAGGTTTTCTTTTCACATAGAAATTTCTAAATCAACAAATAACACAGAAGGACAGAGTCTGTTGGATTTATGAACCTGTTTCATCAATGTCTTTCTCTATTAAATGATTTCTGAGGAAGTGTAGATGCTGCTGTCCCTGCTTTCACTAACCTTCAGTATTTCCATCAATTTCCAATGTAGCAGTTTTCAAATCACTGTTGTTAGTTACAGACCATCTGTTTATATATCAAACTATCCAAACACACTGGTGAAAGCAAACTGAATCTCTCCACAGCCAAACCACTTGTAGGTGTTGACATAGCCTACAGCCACTCCAGTTTTATTTGTTTACTGGAGTGTGCTGTTTGCAGTGGTGTGAAAACATATCAAGTACAGTGTTTGGCTCCAGTCCTGTCTTTTTCCCAAGGTTACCTTCTTTATACAAACTACTTCCTTCACAAAAGGCTACTTTCATCTTGCTTTCCCAGTAGTTTTCTCTCCACAGGTGTAACAACTCTGAGTTAGGTCCCAGGGCAGATTTTCTTTCCAGTACCACCACTGGAGCAATCGATCTTCTCTTATTCTCTCCCTTTCTCTCTCTGTAACTAACACACTAACACACACACACAGAGTAAGTGCAAAAGCAATATATAGCATATAGCAATTCTCAATATTATCTATAGCATCATTTTAGATTTGATCAGCACCATGGACAGCAACTAGAGTCAGCAGTTAGGGGAATGGACATATTTGTCTAAGCTTATCCTAAAAACTCACACCATCTTCTTCAAGTAGACTACCACAAGCCTGTGATCAAAGACTGGAAGCAGTGGTGTGTTTGATAAGAAGCTAAGATAAATCAACTGGAACTAGTTCTCTGCATATAAGTACAAGAATTTTAAAACAAACCCTGAAATCTGCTGGGAGCCAATGTAAAAAATATAAAATAGAAGCAATGTGAGTTCACTTACTAGAAAGTGTTAATAGTCTGTCAGTTTGTATAGCGGGGAGGTGAGAACGAGATGATTTGTTTGAGCTGGTAATGGGCATTGCAGTAATAGGCACGATGATACAAATGCATGAATAGTTTTCTCCAGTTCCACTGAGGAGACTATTGCTCACAATTTGCAAATGTTACTTAACGGTAAGAAACGGGAATGAGAAATAGATTTTACATGTAAGCCAAAGCCCAGAGAGGAATCAAATATTGCATGTGTGTGTATTGCAATATGTGACATTGCAGATGAGCAAAAGGAAGCAATCACTTGACTGATGTTTGGATGTAATTCAGGAGGAGCTATAATCACAGTCTCAGTCTTCTTGGAATTTAAAACAAGATCATTATTAGACTGCAAGTAACCAGCCTGGATTAAGCAATCAACAAGGATGGACCTTCTGCTAGCGAAGCTTGAAAGAGATTTATGACTGAATGTCATCAGCATAAAGTTGGTAAAATGTCCCTAAAAGATTGAATGATTCCAGCAAAAGGAAAAGTATAGAAAGAAAAGAAAAAGAAGTGTAAGGCAGGTCTGGGTGGTTGCTAGTGCTTATGGAAAGCACAAGAAATAAACCACATGCTGTCATAGAAGTGGACAAGTCTTTTAGATGCATAGTGCAGGAATGAGTGAGCTTTTACAGCTGAACACACCAGGCCCAGGCGTAGCTCATGCAGCCATACATGCTCTGATCAGCATCTGCAGGACAAAGCACAGCACAACAAAAGAAAACATACACTTAGTACCCACATGGCCCAGGGTTTTTACAAATGGGACTTCGACTGCATATATTATATTGACTGATTATATATCCACAAAAGCAAAAAATACACTTTGTTCACTGTAGTTATTTGCAAGGTCACCAAGCCCAGGTGATCCGTAACATTAGGGGTAGCTTTGTAGCACTTGGGAGGCCAGTAAGCTGTGCCTAAAAGCCAGCATGCATGTCAGCAGGACCCCTACTGAAACAAAGGAACAAAAACAAAAGCAACATGTTAATATATTAAGATCAGCTCAACACTGAACAGCTGTGACCAAATATACAAATGTGTATTTTTTTTGCTGGACCATTCTACTCATGTTTATTGGATCAAACATGACCCTCTCTTTTATTTTACTAAGTACATGTTAATAATTAATAAGTGCATAGAAAAAGTGTTTAAGAAGTGTCTGTCATTATCTATTGTCTGAAAAAAAAAGGAAAAATGTGAGTATGTGCAAGGAGTGCAATCTATTTTCCAGCTAATCCACCACTTTGTGAATGATTACTCACTAATAGTATGGTTAACCAGTGTTTTAGTTCTGATGACCATGCAGCATGTGGGCAACACCTGAGAAAAAAATCTTCAAAAGGTAAAAGCAAATGTCCTACATGTCACTGAACTAAAAGCATTCAGAGCATAAATGCATTCAATAAGGCTGCAGAGTTTTCTAAATGTATCTTTAAATGTTTTGAATATACATGAAGGTTGACTAACCCATGCCCACTGTGCTAAGCCATTAAAATCTCTTAATGTAGTGCCAGACAAGTAGAGAACCCGTGCATTCAAGGACATGCAAGAATAATGGTATTCTATGCAACATTAGTAATGTACACAATAATGTGAGAAACAGACTGCTGAACCAAACAACACAAAGACAATTTAATTTGTCTCATTTTTTTTTTATAGAAAAGATGAACTATAAGGAAAAAAATAATAAAACAAATGTGAATATATCCAAAGACGCATTGTAATAGCTATTTGTTAAAAAAAAAAACAAAACAAAACTTGCTAATCAAAAGGGTCAAGTCAAACTAATAAAATAGCTTTTACATACATAAATACACTTGTTTACCTTATACACTAGTGCAGGAGTCGGCAACCTGCGGCTCTGCGTGGTTTGGGAAAATAAATTAT